GGTAGGGAGGACTACAGGATTTTGGCGCTCTGTTCACAGTCTTCTTGCTTTCTTTGCTTTCAGGTTATGCTCCTAATGACATGCCAGTGAAAGCAAAACGCAGCACATACAATTACAGCCTGCCCATCACTATCAAGAAGCCAGGTATGTGCACCAAGGCATGCAGATGCTAGTGTTCATTAAGTTAGTGTTTTTTGGCTGCCCTGAGAGAGCTGAACCAAAGCAGAAAAGAAGCCATATACTGTGCCTTGAAGTTCAAGATACTATACAAGTGGAGAATCTCTTTCCTCTCTCTTTCAGTAAGTCACACAGTTAGCATACAGGACCTAAAACAGGGCCTGGGCTCTTCAAGTACATCCAGTGCGAAAAAAACTTCCAGCAGGTACAAACTCAAGGTAGGTATTAACTCTTCTCACCAAAACCTTGGAATGGGATCGTCAGAACAGGGATCTGTTTTGTTTTGTAAATTATTCAGTGTCAGTGTTGACTGAGACAAACCACAGACATCGAAACGGTTGCCATTTTATTTGGAGATTCACGTGCTTTTCTGTCTTTGTATTCAGTTAGGCTTAAGTGGAAAGTTCCTGCTTATTTACAGCTGCACACTTCCATCTGTTACCTTGAATATGATGGAAGCAGGTTATGAAGAGGGAATCCTTAGCCTACAGGGGAGCATTTTCCACTTGCCATTTAAAATCCAGTTGGGCAGAAGAAATAAGGAACCAGAATTCCTGTTGTTACATTTTAAAGTTTTGCTGCAATGGCAACTTTTACCCAGGGATTCAAGGTATAACCAGTAACAACTCAAACAGGTGAAGGCTTTAAGAAGTGCCTGTCTTTTGAATTAGTTTGTAGGGAAACACCTTTCTAATAAATGCTGAGGCTGTACCATTATACCATGACCCAAGTGTGGAAATAATTAGAAATGCATGTTCAAATCACAGTCTTTTCTCCTCCCAGGATTCCATGTATATCTTCCAAGAAGGGGCCCTGCCTCCATATCGACAGATGTTCTATCAGCTCTGTGACTTGAATGTAGAAAGGTATTATGAAACATTAGTTGAATCTTTTCACAGGAGATTTCACAGACTCTGCGGTGATTAATCTCAAATGCCCCCATTTACACACAAGCATCTATCTCTCTGTTTGACCTGGGTATTCGAGACTCCCAGCCTTTAAGTGAGAACACATAGGCTGCTCCACTCGCAGTTGCAGTTCCTTCGCAATAAAGTTACGTGAGCAACCAAGATACCCTTCTTTCTTTACCTGCATTTTGGGGCTGGTCCCAATCCACTAAAACTAGTGGGGGTATGTGAGGCCCTATTCCCATTGTTTTCCATCTGCTGATTACATATGTATACAAAATGTCACAGAACTTGGGAAATCACACTTCTGCTTTTCTTGTGGTTTTGATGAATGCAAATGTATATAAGCATAAAAATACATGCTGCATCGAATGCTTAACATGATGTGTCACAAGCATAAGATTTAGAAAAGGTTTCATGTATAACCTCCCCAGTTATTATCTATTTAAAATGTTCTCTAGGGATGGAGTGAAGACAGTGACATTTTGTATCTGTTCAGCAAAATTTAAATACTCTGGTTTCGGTGGACCTAAGTCAAAAGGAGATGCTTTTGTTTTGTTTCAGTTTTCCTAATGAAAACTTCTACAGATGTTGAAATCATCCAATGAAAAATGTTTATTCTCTGTAGAAATTGCACTTTCTGTTGGAAAGCCACTCTAGTGGGAAATTCATAACCATCTTTGCTAGTGAAACTTTCCTTGTAACATGCTGGGGGGTGGGTCTTTGATGAGAAGGCACAAGTAGTTTCGACAGTTTGGTTTGAAGTCTGCATCTGATGCCAAGTTGACTCTTTTCTTGGCTGCTCTTTAGCTTACAGAAAATCATTCATCGAAATGATGGCATGGAAGCGGAGTGCAGCGAACGGGATGGGTGGTGCCTTCCGAAGACTAGTGATGATCTGAGAGATACCATGTCTCTGATGATCAAGCAGACCATCAGATCCACGCGACCCGGTAAGGAGAGATGCCAGTTTTTTAAGCATTGGAAAGGATGTTTGGAAAACTTCTAGATGTTGTAGTGTGCTGCTCTTTGCAGTGAAGTAATAAACATGGCTTGGCCTGGGTCACCTCCCTTGTTCTGGAAGGCTTAGTCCAAGTTGGTTAAGTGTTGGAGTTTGATCCTGTGTTTTTCATTCTGCTTAGATCATCATGGGGTGGGGGGTGAGTGTGAAGTCCTCATCTTGGACACTGGCAGGACACCTGCTTTTCTTCAAACAGTCTTTGTCATGTCATGGAAAAGACCCCATACTCTGGGAGAAAGTAACTAGACTTTGCCACTTACAACACCAACAAATTAAATTGGGACCTTTAAATAGGTAGGGGGTAGAACTCCCTGCCTTGCCTTCTCAATATCAGTCTCTCTCTCTCTCTCTCTTTTTTTTTGCTTCACCTTATAATCCCCTTGATGGTGCATTTATACATATTGGTGGCAGCAGGAATGGACCTTTATTAATAAGTTTGTATGAATTATGTACTATAGGAGTCACTGCAGGAAAGGAAAACGTGTCCATATGATGCTGGCCCATGTTGCTTTCTAAAAGAAATGGAGTAGCTTCATTTGGTACAAGATGGTGTGACCTCCTGAAAGGCAAAACCTCCTACCATTGTTCTGTTAGAATTCCTTGGGAAGGAAAACTGACTTTTTTCCTCCATCTATTGGTTTTATTAAGATTTTAACTGCTGTCAACATTTCTTTTCCATCTTCTGCCTGGATCTGTTAATGTTATTGCAAATCCATCCGTGGCTTCAGTGATGGTGGAAATAATGATGATGGTTTCCTCTTTCTCTTTTTGATTAAGCTCTTTTTTCAAGTACATCAACCACTGAAGATGGCAAAGAGCAGCTGACATATGAGTCTGGTGAGGATGAGGATGATGAGGAAGAGGAAGACTTCAAGCCGTCTGATGGAAGTGAAAATGAAATGGAAACTGAGATTCTGGACTATGTGTGATTCTGTGAGCAAACAAAACAAGATTGCACAGAACTCATTTTGGGCATAGACATTTTGTTTCTTGAACCCTGGGGGATTTGGAGAGGTGAAGCTCACTCCAAGATGCCAGTTGCATGCGGCACTGGCAGCAGTGCTTGCCGTTGCATCAGCGGCCAGTGTACTGGGGGCACAGGCACTACCAATGGCATTTTTATAGTGCTGGGGAGACCAGGAGCCATAGAAATGACTTTGTAAGGAAGCTTCCCCACCTTGCTACTCCCACTTGCTTGGTCAAGGGGCTCTGACTGGCATTTCTTGTGGAATCAGCTGCGCCTTACCTGCCCTGGAGAATTTCTGGTGGCAATTATGTAGGTAGTTGTGCATCTTTATTGCATTTTCCTTACCTCCTTGAACAAGCAAACTGCTATATCTGATCTCATGGGATCTCTGTTTCCCTTTGTGACTATAGTGCTATTTCTGAGATGGCCCTGGGGGGTGACATCTGCACCGTCTTTTCTTCCCAGGAGCTGAGAGCACCTTTGTCCTTGCCAGCCCTATTGCGTAAGTCTTCAGCAAGCCTTGAGCCCAGGCCCAGTGGGACTGCACCTGGCCTCATGTACCAAAGGATTAACATTTAATTATACCCTTGGAGGCCACAGAACTTGTAAGCCTGCTGTCAGGGTCACTGGAAAAAGTGTATTGAGAACAGGACAAACAAGGCTAGTATTATTAATCAAGAGGCTGTGGAGCATATCACTTGACTTGGCATGAATCGTGCGTTTTAATGGGGCCTGTAGGTACCAGTCCATGACTGCATATGTACATGAGAAGCACGTGGTAACTTCTCTCCGTTAAGTCAACTGCCAAGAAATACAGTCCTTGCCTGCTTTCCTAATTAAACTTTTTTTTTTTTTTTTTGCAATAATAACGTATTTTTCCATTTTTTACCTCTGCTTATATGCACTTGTATGTAGTCCAGCTCCCATTGGGGTAGGAAGTGACTGACGGACTTAGCCAGGAGTTGGTTTAATGGGTTCATTTAAAGTTTGACTGGGTACTTGCATGTAAACCAACCCAGGCAAAACCTGTCAGTTTTTGCATTGGCATTTGTGCTCTTTACAAATATCAAGTCAGGCTGGCAGCCCCCTGGAGCTGAGGAGAAGTGTCTGACCTGGAATCCTGTGGTTGTCCTTTCCTGGGAAAAGCACTTTGGTTGGGTTTGTGTCCCTTGAGCTGAGAATAAAGAAGTACTTTTAACTCCAGTGACTTCAGGGTATTGCCTTTGGCTCTTCCAAGTAGGAATAAAATATATTTTGGAACAGTGGCGGCGTCTTCCATATTCTGTCAGCTTGAGAAATTGGAAACAAGGCCAGAGGAAGGAACACCAATTAGAAACTGCATCCAGTGAATTATTCACTTCCTTGTGATGATCTGTGGTGGCTCTGCCAGATCATCAACTCCCAGTCATGAGCTAGCTCTTGATTCCACTCATCAGGAGAGCAAGGCAGGAACAGACAGTCCTGAACATTTCCAAGTAGCTGATGGCTGGAAGCTCTGACCGTCCGCTTGGTCTCAATAATTTCTACTGAGTTGCATCTAGTCCATCTCCTGATTCCAAATCTGGGCAAAATTTGGTTCATGTCATGCGGTATTATTTTTCTGTCTTTAAATATCTCAGCTTATATGTGGCTCTGTGGTGAGCCTCTTTTCTTTAAGACTGCTAAGACCTAGAACTTTCTTCAAGGAGGCAAGCTGCCAGCCCACACAAGAAACAGCTGGAGGTCTCTCACAACCTAGTGCCGGTTATCAACCACGATTTGGCTGCAGCCAAGTGAAGCACAGGTGTGTGCAATCTGTGCGAGCACCCTTGGCACAGGTGGGACAAGGTGGAGCTCCATGGGCGCATGCGGATATTTGTATCCCAGCGCACCTGTGTATATATATATATAGACACATAGGCAGGGATCAGTCTGGCAGGCAGGCGTCATGTGTCGTTGGGGGATTCTGTGCTTTGCCCTCTTCTGCTACCTGGGTGTAGCATGGGCTGCAAAGGTAAGGATACAGCAGGCCATTCATTTTCCTTTAGCCTAAAGAAAATTGGAGAGAACAGGTTGCCTGGTTAGAGTCATGTATTAAAGTTTTTGTGGTCTCTCCCTTGGCTCCTGGCATATCCGCAGGTGCTACGTTAAATGGGCGTCCAAGACTTCCATAACAAGTAGCTCCATACAAAGCAGCATCTCGCTGTTCTGTATCTGAAAGAAAGCGGGCAACTGCCTTCTGGGGTCACGGAAGTGGATGTACGAACCAGATAGATCCACTGGCCAATGCTCATTCTTGTGGGCTGCGACAAAACAGCAAGGGGTTGGTTTCATCTTAGATCTGGGATACGGCAACGGAAATATGTGATACCAACTCTTGAGCAAAGGCAGATGGGTTGTAGCCCAGGTGTTTTTAGGGGGATGTCCTATTTTTTCTCATGGCAGGGCTCGCCTCTCATTTACTGGCTTCTGAATATTTTTCATCCTATGAAGTAGCTATGCTTCACTGAGCATACTCCAATATATTTTAGCGGCCTCAGACAGGGAAAGAGAGGCTGGGACCTACCTCATACTGAGCAAGTTTTTGCAAAATTGGTCAGTAGCAACTGGGGACTTCATACTGAGTAATTCTGTGAAGTAATGAGTGTCTTCAACTCCACTGACTTTTTTTCCTCTCTCTCTCTCTCCCCCTTCCTGTATACCTCACTATTCATGCATTTAGCTTTCATCACAGTCTAATATCACCTCGAAGTCCCTGATGGGGAAAAGTCTCAGCCTAAGTGCAAATTATTCATTAATAGTAATAAGCGTGTTGTTCAGTCATTTTATAAAGCACTAGCGTTGTCAGGGGTTGATGTTTCAGTTGGTGTAAGTGTGCTTGAAAAGACAACTTCTGCGGATGTAGCTTTCACAGTCAATATGTTAAAGGGCTAAATGAATGTTGAAGCATATCTTAGACCTGCTGATCCTGCCTGTGTTCATTAAATGTGTTTCCTGTTCCCTGCCCCTGGTCTGTCTGGAATATCTTTAGCTGGGTGTCGTGTCCACGGAAGGAGGCTTGATTGAGGGTGTCAGTAAGAAGCTGGGACTCTTCGGGAACTTCGTTGACATCTTCAAAGGAATCCCTTATGGAGCTCCTACGAAGATTTTGGAAAACCCCCAGCCCCATCCTGGCTGGTCAGGTGAGAAGGATTTTGGATCTCTGTTCTCTCCCCTCTACCTCGGGCTTTTCTTTCTTGTGTGAAGTTGGAAGCCTGGCCTGGGTTCACAACAGGATATTGTCTTCTTTCTCCTAGGTACACTGCAGGCCACGAAGTACAAGCCCCGTTGCATGCAGGCCACGCTAACCCAGACTGACGTACGTGGGAGTCTGGATTGTCTGTACCTGAACATCTGGGTCCCTCAGGGGAAAAAACAAGGTATGGGCTTGATGAGGACATGGGAGGTGGGATGTTTCCATTCTGTTCAGCCCTGAGCAGCCTGGAGCGATTGTGTGTTGGAGCCAGGCCTTCCTTGACACCCCCCTCTGGCCACCAGTTGTGTGCTCCCCAGCATGCTGGCTGCACTGGATTCCTCGTGTTACCGCTGCGTCAGCCAGTCTCCACCAGCTGCTGTGTCGGAGCCTTGTGTTCCAATAGAGCGACCCCCTCCTTGCAGGGCAGATGGGGAAGTCAGGCCCCCAGAAGGTTTGTGGTGACATTAGACATGCCATTGGATCCATTTCCATGGAGAAACTGAGCTTCCCTTGGCAAGTAGAGACTGGAGTTTGTGCTGTGTAATTTCTCCCTGCTCAGTTCTGTCTTCCCAGGCTCTTCAGCTTATCCTGTCACCAAGTCCTAGGTCTGTTATCGTGATAAATAACGTGCTTGTGCCTCTAGTTCAGTGACCCTGCAGACAGGTACTTTTATATTCCTCCTAAACTTGCTCAAGCTTGAAGGAGGTGATGCCTGTTAGTGAACATGCCTAGAGGTACAGGGTGATGATGATATGGAAAGGGCTGGCTTTGATTTGCATTAGGAAGTTTTCATCTCTTCCTCAGCCTAACATCACTTTGTGGTTCCTCCCCACTCCAGTCTCCACAAATCTGCCAGTGATGGTCTGGATCTATGGAGGTGCTTTCCTCTTTGGAGGTGGTCAGGGTGCTAACTTCCTCAAGAACTACCTCTACGATGGTGAAGAGATTGCAGTGCGAGGCAACGTCATCGTTGTGACCATAAGCTACCGAGTGGGGCCCCTGGGGTTCCTTAGCACGGGTGATGCCAGCGCTCCAGGTACAGTAGCTGTCGCTCTGCTTTAGAGACTTCAGTTCTGTGTCTGCCCAGCCTCTCCCACACGCACCAGAGTGGCTCCCCTCATCCACATACACACCATGCAGGAGGGCTGTCTTCCAAGCAAAGAGAGATCCGGAGGCTGAACTTGTAGGAAAGGCAGCAGATGGGTTGGATGTTTGAAGCATGCAAAGCCCTTGTTCTGACACCACTTCCCAAAACGTGTAGGACACAGGCCCAGGATCCGCGGATACCTGTGATCTAACCTCAGCTTTAAGACAAGTAAAGGTGAAGGTGTGCGAAACATGGACCCAGAGCCTGGAATCCCACCGATTTTTTAATTCTCTGTTCCCTGAAAAATGTTGCCTTCTCTTGCGCAGGTAACTATGGACTGAGGGACCAGCACTTGGCCATTACCTGGGTGAAGAAAAACATCAAGTCCTTTGGAGGAGACCCCGATAACATCACTATCTTTGGGGAATCCGCTGGAGCTGTCGGCGTCTCGTTGCAGGTGCGCGGTCATCACCAGGCCATGGCAGGGTTGCTTTCCCTCTCTGGCAGAATGCTGCAGGTTCCCTAGCGCAGGGCTTTTCTAGCTGCAGGCGCTGCTCTGGGTGGCAGTAGGTACAGCTACATGTGGGTTAATAGATGAAGGGGTCCTGAACTTGTGCTTTTCTTCGTAGCGGCTCCGTTATTTTGGATATGTCCTCATTAAACTCTCTACACAGATCTGAAGAGTGCTGCTTTCCCAAGCACTCCTCCTCCTCAGGCTTCCCCTGCTGTAGAAATCTGTCTGTATTTCAGCCTGTAAGACTGAGTTGATGTTGGTTCCTTACACTGCCCCTCTCTCTGCAGGAGCCAGACTTTCATTGCCTGAGGCCTTGCAGCTCCTTCCTCCCAAAGTTACACAGGTCCTTTTATGCTGTGACTTGTTGAGAGGCAGCCACTGTTCGGAGCCTTGTGTAGAGCCTGAGCACTTGGCCTTGGCCTGGGAGGCTGTCTGGGGCTTGCTCACAACCAGCCTTTTCTGTCTCCCCTGTGACACAGACCTTGTCACCCTACAACAAGGGGTTGTTCAAACGAGCCATCAGCCAGAGCGGCGTGGGCCTGTGCACGTGGGCTATCCAGGAGAACCCTCTCTTCTGGGCTACCAAGGTAAAGTAAGCTCCAAAATAGGGCAGTAACCCAGGGTCACTCTCAGAGCTCAGGGGGAGGAGCTGCCAAGGAGCCTGGATACAGTAAATTCACAAAGTTGGGTCAGACTAGGACCTGCGCTGTGCCACCAGGCTAGGAGAGCTTTTGCAGCCAGCCGCTGACACCCTGCTGGTACGTGGAAAACAGCAGGCTGAGTGGGTGGAAACAGTGACGGCACCTGAAGTGTCTAAAAAGGGACAGTACCCCTCAAAAGGAGGCGTGGGAGCATTTCTGAGATTCAAAAAACAAACCAAACAAAACCGCACTTCCTGTCCCAGTGTGTGGGAGCTGGGCAGTTGGCTGCCTGGCTGCACTGACCACAGCTACTTCCTCTCTTGCGTCCCGTAGATTGCAGAGAAGGTTGGCTGCCCTACAGACAACACCACAACCTTGGCCAACTGCCTGCGTGTTGCAGACCCCAAGGCAGTGACACTGGCCTACCATCTGGAGTTGATCGGCCTGGCATGTGAGTCAGTGGGCCCTAGAGCAGTGTTTCTCAACCTGTGGGTTACGACCCAAAGTGGGTTGCAAGAATATATGAAAAGGTCACAAACGTTAAAAAAATGGATTCTCGTTTAAAGATAAGAAATGTGGCAAACCGTGGTTTTGCTTGGGGCCTTTCCTACCCCACACACCGAGGAGCTGCGGGTGGGGGCAGCAGGTGAGGAGCACCGGGTCAGGACTGGCCATTGATGTTTACAAATGGGTCCTGGTACAAAAAACATTGAGAACCACTGCCGTAGAGGACACGTGTCTGAGCGTTGTTCCCATAGAGCTCAGCCCATTGGCTGTTGCGTGAAGAGTAGGCAGGCAGGCAAGACACTTGTTTTGAGTTTGAAAAACCAGGGTTCCTGCCATCCTGTCCGTGTGAAATCATACAAGCAAATCCGCCCCTTCCGGTCGCTTTGGGCTGACTTGGGCTTGCCCACAGTGCTCCTTGGGGACCAGAGGCTTGAGTTTTGGGGTGGGAGTGGGAGTCTTACCTACAATGGGGATTCAAAAACAGTCCTTGGCTGCTGCAGCTGCAGCATGTCCTGCTGGGCCTCTTATAGCAGCAGTACATTGTCCGTGCACCCAGCTGCTGCTGGATCCATGCTGTGGGGCTCCTGCTGCCCAGGCACGGGCTCTGTGGGGCTAGTGCCCTGCTTGCACCCCGAGCTCCCATGTCATTGGAGACCTGGTTCTGTGCTTCATTTTCTGTAAAAGCCATAATTGTCTTCCCTGCAATTCTCACTCGAGCCGGCAGGTGGCCCGGAGGCACTGCCAGACCCACGGGGCAGTGGGAATGTGGAAACATGTCTGCATGGTTTTCACAAATCCTGGCCCACCCCACACAGCTGGGGGCTGCAGCTTAGCGCAGATGGCTGTGTGCCCCTAGACCAGGCAAAGCCCCGTCCTCTGCTGTCACTGGGGAATCTCCCACTACCCTCAGTCAGGCCAGTTCATCCAACCTGTTTACCTGAAGCTCCCTGCTTGCAGCTGTAGGGCACGTGGTCGGTCTGCTCCCATGTTGGATTCATAATGATTCCTGGCTCTCCTCTGCATGCAGATCCCCTTGTCCACTACCTCGCCTTCACTCCTGTCATTGATGGCGACTTCATCCCAGACAACCCGGAGAACCTCTTTGCCAATGCAGCAGACATAGACTACATTGCAGGCGTGAACAACATGGATGGGCACATCTTCGCTGGGATTGATGTTCCACGCGTCAATCGTCCGCTCAAGCACATCACTGCGTAAGTGCAGCTGCCTTAAGCACACATGGAAAAAGCAAGGTGGTCTTGGGTTTTGCTAGGGGAGAAACAATGCTAGAGAAAGGCCTTGTCGGTCGGTCCCAAACACCTTGGTGTGAGTGAGACCCAGGCCAGAGGAGCACCTACGTAAGTGTTTTTCCCCTCATGCCCTGATGGCAGAGTTGCTCCCAGGAGGAGATTGGGGGGAAAGGTTTGGCCAAAGGAACCAAGTTCAGAAGGACCTGGATTTCATAGATTTGATAGACGTTAGGGGCTGGGACGGACCTCGTGAGATCATCGAGTCTGGCACCCCCGCCATAGGCAGGAAGTCAGCTGGGATGTCGCCACTCTACCCACCTGCTTCACCAAGCACAAAGATGAACTTCCTTTGAACTGATGCCTTCTCTCCAGAATCTGGACTGAGATCGCGAGGCTCTTCCATCCATCAAACAACACCCAAGGGCGTATTAGGAGCAGGGCTGCCTTTGAACTGGAGGCAGCTATTTCACGTCTCTAGTACCAATTCACTGGTCCCTGCTATCACCCCCCCTCTGCTTTGACAAGTGTCAGGGAGCCAGGGTCTGTCTCTGTGACCACTGGACCTATTACAGTCTTTCCAGTCAGTAGGAAGCTAAGAGGTGCCATGGGTTTTTTTTTTTTTTTTGCAGGGATGATTTCTACAACCTGGTGCGAGGGCTGACCATGAAGAAGGGAGTAAGGGGAGCAAACGCAACATACGCCCTCTACACCCAGGTGTGGGGCCAGACCCCAGATCAGGAGACCATGAAGAAAACAGTGGTGGACTTGGAGACCGACTACATCTTTCTGATCCCGACGCAGCGGGCTCTCAATCTGCATTACCAGAATGCCAAGTGAGTCTGTGCAAGCAGCAGCACATGCTGGGCACATTGTGGGCAAGCTCAGGATATAGCATTCAGGTGGGAGCCGTGTGGGCCGGAAATGATGCAGTGACTGGGTCTGCATGGGTAGGTTTCATTTTTTATTTACCCACAAAGAGTTGCAGATGTAGTCCAGGACACTGGGGATTTTAAAAAAATCTCAATTGAACTTTTTGTTTAAAAACCCCCAGTCGGCCACTGTTCCCCACCGCTTAAGCAGCAAAGGAAGTTGTCTGCTCTTATTCCCTGAGCAATGAATGATGAGAAGTAAATGAACTGTGTCTCCTATGTTTCCCTAAGATGAGGTGATGATGCTAAGAGGATAGGGCAAGCTGCTTGGAAGTTCTGGGGCTTAAAGTCCTTCCTGGACACCTAGCATTGTGCATGATTGAATGCCAACCGTGCACATGAGTGTTTGAGTCTGTGGTTTTGTGAATCACTATCGCTCCATCCCCAGCTGCTTAGCATCTATTTCTGCTTACACAGGAGTAGCAAGACTTACAGCTACGTGTTCTCCCAGCCATCTCGAATGCCCGTCTACCCCAGCTGGGTAGGGGCAGACCACGCAGATGACCTTCAGTATGTCTTTGGGAAACCGTTCACTACCCCACTGGCCTATTTCCCACGGCACAGGACTGTCTCGGAGACCATGATTGCTTATTGGACCAACTTTGCCAGAACAGGGTAAGAGGCCTGGGCTACAAGTGGTAACACCAACTCCCGTCTATTCATGCTCCTACCTGTGGGAGCCTCAGTCTTGTAGCCTGCACCTAGGCTGCTCTGGGTCTCCATGAGCTGAGGGAGCATCAGGGGTACTGGAGGCATCCCACCAATTGCCTAGGGATCTTGAACGATGGGGAGCTGGGTCGGCGAGCCTGGGCTGTGGGGAAGTGCAGACACAGGAGTCTGTTCTCAGCATACAGGGCTTCTGGAGGATGAGGTTTCTCCCTAGCATTAGCTCCTCTCTTCTGAGTCCTTTAAGCTCCATTGCCTGCTGTGGGAATTGGGCTTCAAGGGCTAAAGGCAGGATCCATGCTACACCTTGCGCTGGTGCAGGGAGCAGTTCAGCTTGGGCTTGTTTTAGCTGCTTGCTTGGCAATTCCATTTTCTACCTGAATGCTGAGCTGCTGCTTCCAGTTTGTGAGGCCCATGATGTTGGCCTCAGCAGCGGCAGACACCTGTGTGGTGCTTTCCCACGGTGCAGCTCGCTGGAGACTGGGAGAGGAGCCTCCAACGCAGGGGTTTGTGGGTTGTCTCAGGGCTTTTCTCAGACTCCTGAAGGGCCCCTCAGCGCTGGGTGTGGGCTTTGAAAGACCCCAGGAGAAGGCTCCCTGGCTGCACAAGTGCTCCCATTTCGGAGTTGGGACACTTTGTTCTGGGTTCAGGGGATTCGTTACTGGAGAGCGAGATCAGAGCATCCATCAGTCAGTAGTCAAAGTTTGCAGAGCATGGGAACTAGCACTCTCACAAGGTCCTAGTGCTTGTGTGGAAAGCCCCACATCAGGCTGCAGCTTGCCAGGGGAGCTGGGCTGCAAGTCTCAGGTTAGCTCCGTCTCCAGCTGCAGCTGTTGTGCTTTTACAGGGACCCTAACAAAGGGGCATCAAGCGTGCCCATTGCTTGGCTGCCGTACACAGCTGAGGAAGGCTACTACGTGGAAATCAACAGCGACATGAGCTACAACTCTGTGAAGCAGGGTCTCAAGGCCCCCTACGTTAAGTTCTGGACGGTGTCCTACCAGAGCCTGCCTAATAAGTCTTCCTCTTTCCTGGATGAGTAACAAGCCCATTAGACTTTACAAACAGGAACGCACAAAAAATCACAGTAAAGTCGAAATCATTAAATGCTTGTCTTCTGCTGAGCGAGTTGTGGCTTCTTTTTAACTGTCCTGTGTACCAGGACTTCCCAAATAACAGTCAAGTCCAGTGTACTAGACAACACTGTCTCCTCTGAAAGGGGCACACAGACTCTCCTTCCACAGAGGCACTTTCCACCCCATGTTTGTACCTAGTTGCCTCAATCACCCTGATAGCAGAAACTTGTTCAGGGACTCTTTGCAAGGTTGACTTCACAAAGGGCCCCTCCCACAGAAAAGCTCTGTTGCAAAGCACCTGTATTCCTGGCTCTTGCCCTACACCATCTGCAGTAAGACTGGCTAAAAGCAAGACCCCTTAACACACCTCTGCCAGACATAAACACAGCCCAGGAGGTGGAGCTGATGTGCTACTACCGCTTGCTCTAATTACTGGAGCACTCTGGACTAGTAAAACAATGGGAATGTGATTTAATTCACCAGTGCCCTGGCTGCAAGGCTGAGATGGAGGAGAAAGGGATGCTACAATCCACTATGCTTTTGCTTGCTCTCAGTGATGATCATGGCAGAACCGTGCATTATTAATTCAGTGGTAATTCACTGGAGAGGTAGGTCATCAGCCTCCTAGTTAATTTGCTGGCCTCCCCCTGGACAGTAGCAGGAGGACTGGATCCGATTAAGAGGGGAAGCGCTGTGAATGTAAAGCAAAACTAGATTCAACAGCATTGACTTATAGCCCTCGTACCTGCTGCTCATCAGTCTGTTAGCCCACTCACTTCCTCAGCAATACAGGAGCCCCTGCACATCCTACACTGCTGCTCCTCTGTGGGCTTTACTCCGTATCTGTTCCCTTGTACTTAGCTGGGGGCCTACATCAGTCAAGGAAGACAACGGCACGGCGCCCAAGGGCAGGGTTGTCAGAGCATTGGTATTTTATTGCAAAGACTAATTACATGACTGTGTACACGTCACACTGGGCAGTGTGTGCCTTCACAGGAGTTGTTACAAAATCTGTATCATACAATCAGCTACGTTGATCACCTATGCACAGGGGGGCACTTCAGAGTCTGCTGGCCCTTGGAAAGACGGTGGGGAGAGAAGGCTGGTCTGTCAACTCTGCCCTGCATTTAACCTCAGATGCAGGCCAGTTATTGAGGCACGAAGCAGCACTTGAGCCAAGAGTAGGCCAGTGTTACCACAGAAGGGGCAGTGGGCTGCTAGAAGCACAGGCAGCAATGGAGCATTTGCTGGTCTCCCTACTGGGTGACACTTGTTCCTGCCCTCCAAGGTGAAGAGCCATTTCACAGGAACCGTTTGCCCTGAAGCCTGCATGCCCCCCATTGTCTTACCTTGCAGGCAGTTTTTGCCACGGTGCTGCTCAGAGCAGGGCTATAGTCCAAGGCCTGGAGGCCATGGCATGTGCTGGCTGAAACAGAGACCTTGCTGAGAGGGGAAGGGTCTCTTCTTCCCAGACAATGCGGGACCACAGCATAGACCTCAAGGAGATGATTCATGCTGGCAAGAGAGGAAGAGCTGAAGGCCCAGCAGAGGCTGGAAGGGCTGGGTTAGCAGTGCAGAAGAGCAACAGGTCATTCAGCAACAGGAAGAGCAAGCCCAGTCTGAGGCACGCTGACCTGCTGTGCTTGGCTGAAGTGCTTTGGCTGCAGAAACGGATGCTGAGCTGACTAACAGGTCCCTGAAGGCAGAGCGGGGAGAGAAGGCTCCAGCAGAGCAAAATGAGTGAAAAGGGCTCCAACCCCTGCTTCAGGGAGGCAATGGTTCCCTTCATGTGCAGGGGAAGGCAGGGGGCCAGAGAAAGCCACAGCAGTGCTCATAGGAGACGCACTACCTTTTCTAAGCTGTCCCAGTCAGGTACACGGACACACATCCTTCCCAAGAAGCCAGATGCCCAAGGCAGATGATGTCCCAAGTCCTGGTCTGACTCTCAGGGTCCCGGGTAGAGGTTTCCACCCAACCGCTGCAGCCTCTTGCATGCAGCTGTTCTGCTGCAATAAAGCCACTTCCTTCAGTTCCCCCAATGGCTTGAAACTCTCTGCTTTGCTCCCCCGTGACTGATGGTAATGGACCCTCCCCGTTTCCTCCCTTGTGCCTTAAGCACCCGCGCGGGGGGAAACATGCATACGAGGAGGCAACTTCTAATCGGGGTCCTACAGAACCCGCTCCAAGAGGGGCTAAAATCCTGACCTTTCAGGATAAGGCCCTGGGTCCTTGCAGGGATGCAGGACACCAGCTTTGTTACAAAACAGAGATGGAGGAGGAGGAAGGAAAGGCCCCAGGACAGGTGCCTGAGCAGGAAAGGCTGCTGGCGGGTCTGGGAACAGAGGGGCCCCCTTTGGTTAGTGTTTCTTACAGTGATCACAAGTGAGGCCCTTCTCCCCAGGTCACACAGGACTTCGTTAGCCAAAGGAACCAGGGGGCTTAGAAAGACTCTTTTGCCCCCATGCACACAATGAAGCAAGGCAGCTGCCAGAGAGCTCTCTCCCAGTCACTTTAAATACAAGCAGGCAGGGGGCAGGTTAGTAAAATGTACAAGTCAGTCTGGTCTATTTACAACCAATAAATATTGCAAAAAAATTCAGTAAACAGGTTTTTTTGTACAAAAATGCGAGCCCCTCCCCCCACCCCCCATTGTCCATGTTTTAAAAAGTCTTTAAAGCCCAAGGCGAGTGGCACTTTCTGCGGGTGGCACGGACAGAGGCAGGCGTTTTGCGTTGTAAACTGCCCTGGTCCTCTCCGCTCCCACCCGGGTCATATAAAAAAAGGCTATTTACAAACATCTGTACAGGAATTGGAGAAAACGATGGCTCCTTCTTGTTCCGCTGATGGCTCCCCGTGCTTGGTGAGGGGTGTTTTAGCCTCCAAAGAGACACTGGCATTTGATCTTTGGTGCAGGTTTTAAAATGACGGAGCCTGGGACATCAGAGTCCAGCCTGGCAGACTATGGGATCGGGGGAGTAAAAGGAGGAATGACCAGGCTTCCAGTGCAAAGTCCCAGAGAGCACCGAGTGCCTGCTGAGCCATCTCACACATCCAGAGAACACTCATCCACAACCAAGCGTGGTGCTGAGTGGCTTCATCCTTCCCAATTTAACTCCCTCTTCAGGGCAGCCACGTGCGGCTGCAGGGGCAGGCATGCGGCACAATGTCTCAGGAGAGAAAAGTGGGACCTAGAGGTAAAGCAGCCCTGGGTGACGGCAGAGCATGGGCAGTGATGCACCCAGCCCTGTTGCTCCCAAGGAAGTTCCTGCTGACTCCCCGGTGACAGCTGGCGCGCCCCTCGCTCCCGGTGTATCCCAGGCGGACAGATGTGCTGACAAGTCGCCAGTCCTTCACTCTTTCAGACAGAAGGCACCTAAGGCAGAGAGGCGGAGTCTGGCTCTGGGCAGCTGGATGGCTGTGGTGGTGGCACACGGTGGAAGAAGAGACGCCAGCCCCCCTCCGTGTAGAAAAGCCCTGATGGAAATGGGACACTGGCTGACACTGCCCCCCTCCGAGCACCGTGTGCGCTGTCAGTCCACCTGCATGCTGCCCTCACCCCACCAGGCCGGCAGCCAGGCCCAGAGTAGCCTGCCCTCAAGGCCCAGTTGGTGAGGGGTGCAGCGAGGGTGAGGCTAGAAGATGCCTTTGGCGATCTTCAGGCCCTTCTGCTTCATCCGGGGCAGGGTGGAGCTGGAGCCGTGCTTGATCTTCACCCCCTTGGAGAAGCCCCTCTTCTTGAGCACAAAGTCATAGTTGGCAGCAGAGTTCATGGCGTAGAAAACGTTGGCGTTGTCAGGGATTTTCAGCTCTGAGAGGACACATGGACAGAGGTTGGGTCAGTCACCCCGGTGCTTGGCTGGGCTGAAGCTGCCTTCGTAAAGGGAAGGGACATGTACGCAGGGAGCTAAATGGGGCAATGCTGGACCTGCTGGGATGATGGGGAACCTGAGGGAGCAGCAAGGCCCCATGAGAACAGGAGCGTAGGCTGTGCTTCCTGGCTGACTTGGGGCTCCTGCAACTGTGCAAGGTTCCCTGGTCCATGGGAGACCAGGGACGCGCTCTGCCCAGCAGTGAGGTGTGGTGGGCTGGGGTGACAACTCATTCTCCAGGCTCAGCACTACAGTAGCCTCCCTATCGCATCTATGCCAGGCAGGGAGCCAGCAGATCCCCAACACCCCAGCCTCTCATGTTACAGTCCCCTGTACCTCTTTCCTCTGAGATGATCTGAACAAGCTCGTAGTCTTCCGGCCGGTCCCCGTCCAGGTTGTGTTTGGCCATCGCCTTGCGAATCACCACCGGGGTCTTGTCTTGGCTTGTCACCTGTGTAGGGAAGGGATGCATCAACCCAGAGGAAAAGGACTGAGGACCCCAAAGCCACCGTGGCAGCTAAGGCAGAGCCCAGGCACCAGGATTCATTAGACTAGCAGCAATCCCCACCCTCCACCGCACCAACATTTGGTCCTCCTCCATGACAGAGCTCTTCCAAGAGGGGTTGGAAGTAGGAGACGTCCTCAGGATCCTGGGCTGTTGGGCATTCCCACGTGGACACATCGCAGGAACCACCCACTCACCAAGATGCTCTTGTACATGTTGCCATTGTCCACAGCCAGGCTGACACGGATGATACAGCAATCGTCGATCTGCTGGTTGTAGAGGGGCAGTGAGAGGGAGGAGTAGCTGGAGATCCCCGAGATGGAGCGTTTGTGGGTGCGTGATGCCGTCACCGGCGTGGAGGAGACTGAGGAGGAGGAGGCGCTGCTGGAGCCTGAGCCAATCCCAGATGTGTCCAGTGAGGACAGAGAGGTGGATTCCCAGAACTGAGGGGAAGAGGCAGACGTGCAACGGCTTTCAGCCTCTCGATCCATGATATGGGGGATCCCAGCAATGTCCCCTAGAGGCTGGGAAGGGAGCAGGGGCACAGAGCAGGGGCAGGGGGTTCTGTAACTGAAGAGGCAGTTACAACGATGGAGTGGGAGGAGAAAGTGCCCAAGGACATGGAGAGAATCGCAACCAGAGCAATGGATGGAGATGGGAAGGCAGAGGGGCCTGGGGCTCCCGCAACTTGGACCCAACCTTTAAGGGGAGAATGCAGGGGCCCACCCCACTCCACCCCACCCCACCTTCAGACTGAAGGCAGAGGTGCCACCCCCATGCCCTGGGCGCACCTGCCTCCTGCTGCCCTGGGCGCGGGGAGAGCCCGGCGAGCTGCCCCGTACCTTCTTCTCCTGGCAGTCGGGGGACTCGGGGATGAAACTGATGTTGATCTCCTCCACGTCAGAGCTACTGGAGCCGGCAGAGGTGACACTGAGCGAGTCAGTGGTGTCCCCGCTGCACAGGTACTGCCCACACTTGAGCTGGTCGAAGGACTTGGAGTGGGAGCTGCCACTGGCACAGGGCTCAGCGCTTGGCGGCTGCCGACTATCAGAGAAGAGAGAGGCCCTGGATGACCACACTGGCGTGTCAAGCAGCCAAGGGACCCAGTCAGCTCGCTACCTCACAACCCAGGTCTAGGTCCTACGGCTCAAAGAGCTGCCCACAGATGTCTCCGAGACCCCTGGCCTGGCTGGATTCCAGCCTTCTCCACTGCATTCTGCAATACTGAGCCCTTATGCAGCTGCCCCGATGCCCCCTGATGCGACCTGCAGGCCTAGTCTATTTTAATCCTATGCCCCCTCTGTAATGCTGCACTCATGAACCTCGCTTCTGCCTTCACCCCCCAACGATAGCCTCCTGGTGGCTCTGTCAGCTCTCCTCTGTCTAGACGGGCCACACGCAAGCACCCTGGGGACAGGGGAGACTCACTCGCTCCATCGCTTTATGATGCCCGTGTTCTTCTTTGCCTTCAACGTGTTGCTGGCTGACTCAGACAAGGGCTCGATCTCACATGACAGCCCATAGCTGGGAAGGGAGAGAACAGACAGTCAGCTTGGCTGCAGCCTGAGGTAAAGCCCATGTGTTTGGGCTTGCACCCCTCCTTCCCCCCATTACCACTGTGTGAGCAGTGCAGAGAAGGCAAGAAGGAATGGATCGGTCTCAGCCTGCAGGATTAGGGTGACCACAGGTTTCTGGCAGGGCTGAGTCTGGGTATACAAGGCAGGGGGCTGCCCAGGTGCCAAGGTTAGGCATCAACCCCCAGGCACAAAGGCAGGCATAGTTGAATAGGCAGCCCCTAGTTTGAGGGCTCAGCCCACACCCTTCACCAGTGTCACACTGTCCTGATGAACAGAAGCTTGGGAAGCAAATGGAGACTGCCCAGGGCCTTATATGCACTGAGGGGAAGGGGCTACAGGCCCCAAGGCCTTGTTAGCAACTTGTAAGAGGTTTGAGTTTGAAGGAGCCAGCAAAGCAGGGCAGTTCAGCCATGCTCCCATCCCACAGCAATGTGGAATGAGGGGAGTCCTCAGAGGGGCCCTAGGACCGAAGCATCTGGCTTGGGCTCACCTCTCGGCTTCGCTGAGCCTCTCCACACCGTGGAACCACTCTACGAAGCGGTCCTCTTGTGTGAAGCTGTAGTTGTTGCAGGCCGACTGCAGCAGCTTGATCTGGGCAATGACTTCGAACTCCTGTGAGCAAGAGAGGCAGGGACACTGAGTGAGGCCTGGCTCCCACCCACCTTGCCCGGGCCAGACCTCCCAAACACAAGCCCTCTCACTTTCAGACCAGTCCTGAGGGCCATGTGTGGGAATGGCCTTAACTGAGCAGCCCTGAGCAGCCTGCCAAAGCTCAGTGCTCCAAGCTGCAGGACAAGAGAGGGCTAGAGCTAAGACAAGAGGGGAACCAGCCCCAATTGAACTGGAGTGGGGACTCTAGGTACCAGGGGGCATCCAGCCAGCCCCATCATCTGCCTCACTGCAAAGTCTGAACATGACAAACACTCACCTTTCTTCTCTTCTCGAAGTTGATCAAGCCTCCCTGAAACACAGAAGTCAAAGAACATTATAGCAAACCACGCATGGGAAGTCCCTATCCCACAGCCTGGCATGGATCATGCAATGCAGCAAGCCTCCGCCAGGGGACAGTGTCAGCACAGCAGTGTATCCCTACATGCCTATGGGTAGGGAAGCCAACTACGTTTTAGCCATTTTAGCCAGTTCCTGGGAGCTTCAGGGCTCTGGGAGGAGAATGGGATTAGGAGAGCACACGGGAGGGTACGTACATCCAAGAAATCCTTCATGGCGGTATCAAGCATCACCAAGTCTGTGAGGAAGGTGCCCAGGTAGGGGATGGTGCCTTGCATCACACCCTGCAAGAGGAGAACAAGGGTCAGCTGGAGAATCCTGGTCACAGCCCCTACAAGGACACTGGGAGCCCAGAGGGCAGTGGTGCCCAACTCACCATCTCTCTTTGCTGCTGCTGGCGCTTCTGGGCCCTCTTGGGGTTGATTTCTAGGGTGGCAAACTTGGAAGTCCCCTCCTGGATTTGTGGGAAAGAGAGAGGTTGGTTCATCACTAACACTCGCTAATGCAAGAGGCTCCCATGGATCACAAACTCCAGCCTCTTTGGACTTCGTGCCATGCTTACCAGCACTCTCACTGCACCCCAGGGTGGACTGGGAGTGCAGCAGCCCTATGCAGGCAGGAATGGATGGCCTGTCCACACAAGGCACCTTGCTGGTCACCGTGATATAACTGGTGCTGGGATATAAGTACACTCGCTGGGAGTGGAGCGAGCAGCTTTTTCTGTCTGAGCCTAAACGTGCCCTTAGTGTGAGCTCTATTCCTGACCCTGCCACTGACTATGGGGTAAGGCTGACTGAGCCACGGGTTTCTGTGCTGTTGGGTCAAGTGGCAGCACAGCTCCTCCTTTGGAAAGAGCTCTGAGATGTCACGGGAAGTTCCTCGTGAGATCCGGTATTAACTGCCTACAAGTCATGAGTTGAACTGGAAAAAGGGCACGTTACACTGGAGTCAGAGTGCCCTCACAGGGACTCATGCCCTGGCTGTCATTCACAGCCTGTCCGTCGGTGTGACACTCCTAAGCCAACAAGCCTTCAGTGTCCTAATGGAGAAAGGGATGATTTAGGCCGAGCACTGGCACTAGCACCACAGGCAGCTTCTTTTGGGAAGGCCACGCTGCCTTCCCTGGCTCTGTGCATCAATACAGCAACAGGAGGGTTTGTTCCCCGCTGGATTTGGTGCTCCCAGCCCAACCAGCGCTGGGATGAAACGGCCGTGTGAGTGCTTCCAGGGACAGACAAATGCTCCTGCAGCCGCTGGCAGCCTGAACAGGCTCCAAGAGGGACTGAGAATCTCTGAGACCCAGAGGAGCTTTTCCTACAGGCTAAAAAGCAGCCATCTCCAGAGGGGAGCTGGCAAGGGCGGCACAGCATCATGCATGGCAGCACAGACACCCTTTGCATTTGGGCCTGTGGTTTCTGGCAACCTGGTGATGCCAAGACTCCAGCATGAACAATCCCTATGTGGTTCAAGAATGAACAGGCTCCAGTTCTCCTCGTAGACGAGGGCACCCTAACACAGCACAATGCCATGGGCATCAGCAGGGCTGCTCCTGAAACATGCTGGTGGCTGTGAGAGCAGAATCAGGCCCAGTAGAGAGATGTGCACGTGTGTCATTCCTACAGCCCCCAAGCCAGCTATTTCCTTTGTGGGGAGACAAGGGAGAGGGGAGCCAGGAGTGACTGCTCTATTTTGGCTCCAGCCACTGGATTCACAAGATCCCACAGCCAGTTTCTGAGACATTTAAAACCTCACGTTCATTCATGGGGAGACAGATAATGAGAAGCAGAGCCAAGAGCCTGTCCAGGTCTCCATGCCACAGCTTGCATCTGGCCTGGCCTTGCAGGGGGAGAGCACCACTATCTCTGTGCCAGAGAGATAAGGGATGGGGAAGGAATCCCTGTCCAGATGTACCCTTTCCCCTTATCTTCTGCCTTCACTGGGGATTTCTTTGTTGCCAGTGCCCAGCCCAAGCTTGAATGGAGCAATGTGTAACACAGCAGGCTGCCTCAGTCACTGCCTAGCTGAAAATCACGAAGGACGGCAACACAGCACCACTGAGGAGTTGCATGTACAGCAACTCCAGAACCAGCCCATAAGTAAACAGTCTCTGCTCATCCCACAATCAAGCCAGGAGGAATTTCAGAGGCCTCCTGGCCCTGTCTCCCTTGGGCCAGGGTGGTGGAAATGGCCTGTTTTAGACAGGTCTGGCAACCTATTCCCAAACCCTCGCTGGAGGCTGCAAGGCTGTAGGTTCTTTGGGGCAAACCTTTGCTTGGGTTTACAGGATACACTCCTGATCTGTTCCCCATGGGCAGAGGGTGTGTAAACAGCTCAGCTTTAAATAATTCAAACCAGGGCCTGATCTGGCCTGACACACACTCAGCCTGAGGCACACATCTGTCAGCATCTATATGGACAAGCAGAGTGTGTGTGAATGCTGGTGAACACAAGGCATGCCCTGAAGACTCTCTAAGACCTCGAGCAGCTTGTGGTATACACTGCTACAGAACTCCCTGCCCCACTGCAACCTCCTCCCTGCAAGCCTGGGGTCGGAGCCCATGGTCAGCAGTGACACAGGATGCTGGGGGATGAAAGCAGGAGGTGGAACAAGCTAGGACAAATTTTGATGGCACTCCTCGTACCTTGATGAGAAGCTCCCGGCTCAGCGAGTGGTTGTTCTCGTCGGAGAAGATTTCCGATAGCTCATGAAATGTGCGGAAGCTCTCCCTGCTCACGGAGAAACAAGGAGGCATTAGTAATGGTGCACCACTCTTTGCCTCCTGGTTGGGACAAACCCCGCCCTTGCACTTCTCTATGCCCCCTCTTAGGGCAGCATTCACTAACCCCCTATGCTGCTGGAATGCAAAAGCCCCACCTTGTTCCTCCAAAACCCACTTTTTTGCCTGAGCCCAGCCCCACCAACTGAGCTGCCTCCCCTCTCCTCTCCTGAGTACTGCAGGAGATTTTCCCAGCATACACAAGGAACACGTCTTTTTCCCACTGGCTGGTGGATTTGCTGACACTGCAAGACATTATTCTCAGGCTGGCTAGGCCCCTCAAGGGCGCACAGCTCTTCATGGCACCACTGGGTAGCACTGGTGGAGCTTCTTCATGTTATATCCACGCTAGCAGGATACTTCTGGTATTTTACCCTGGACCCTGGCTTTTGGACATGCTCGGTGACACAGGGCTAGAGCTAGCAAGGTCACCCAGGCCACATGCTACCAGGGGACTCCACTACAATAGGGCAGCCCTGTGACACGAGTCCTACGTGAGGCAGAGGGGAGCTGCCTATTCTGCAGCAACAGCTGGACCCTAGTGGACTCTCCTCACCGTGACACTTCATCCCAGGTCTTCTTCAGTCTGTGCACGGCGTTGTACTGCAAGGCAGAGAGGATGGCACGGAGAGAGGAGAAATTCTTCAGGATGCGGCACTCCTGGGGGGACACAAGCCAGTGACAGGGCTGGATGTTAGTTGGAGATGGCGCACAAAAAGGATTATCAACTCCCCCTTGGGCAATGGGGACAGGTGGGCCAGATCCTCAGCTCAGTCAATCCGTGCCAGCCCACTGACAGCAGAGACAGGCTGCTGCCCACCAACAGGGGCTCTGCCCATAGCACTTCGCAACCCCTTTCAGCATACCCACTCCTGGCCTACCCCTGCCAGGTTGCTCATACCCCCATCTGGGATGGGAGGTTGTTTAAAACAGATTAATGGGTGACTGGGGCTGGGCAGGCTTGGGGAAGCTGAAGCATAGATAGAAGAGACCTGCCCAGGTCCCCTGGACTGACCTGGGACAACAGAGTGAGCCAGTGGCACGACAGATTAAAACGCAAGGCTCTGCACTGCAAAGTGGAGCCCTAGACCAGCAGTTCTCAACCTTTTTGTACCAGGTACCATTTGTAAACATTGATGGCACAGTCCTGACCTAGTGGCCCTCACTCCTAACCCAGTGCCCCCCCAACTTCCAGCTCCCCAGTGTGTGGGACATAGGGGGCCACAAGCAGCCCCTTGCAGGCTGGAACTCTGCCAGCCTGCAAGGGAAAAGACATGGCTTCCCATGTTTTTCCCCTTTAAAGGAGAATCCATTTTTAAAGTTTGTTTGTGACCCTTTCATATATTCTTACAACCCACTTTTGGGTTGCACCCCACGGGTTGAGCAATGCTGCCCTAGACCATAGTCCTGCAAAAACCTCCCACCAACAGCCAGGGACAACCTCCAGGGGCCCGTTTCATTTACCCGAGCCACCTCGATCCACCGCTCCACCACTTTGGCTCTCTGCTGTGGCTTGAGCGACCGGTCCCCGAGGCACATGGCGATGACGCAGTTGGTGACTCTGTTGAACTGGGAGACAGTAGCCCGAATGGTGGGTGCCAGATGCTCTTTACCCTTCTTGTCACGCTGTGACCAGATGCAGCCCAGGCAGTGGTATGGTACCACTTTCTTAAACAGCTCCTGAAAGAGGAAGGGATGGAGATGGGTTTGTCTGGGGATGTCTGAGAAGACAACGGGGGAAGCAGGAGATGTGGGGAGCAAGGGGGAGAGACAGTGAAAGGCCGAGGCAGACTGGCAGGCAGCGCATGGGCTGGGCACAAGCATGTGCCCAGAAAGCAATCAATGCCTATTGACAAACCAATACTCACAGCATCCATCAGCGTGAACTGCTCGGCTACCATCTCCGGGGAGAAGGAGAGGAAGTCCGGCTTGCCCTCCCCCAGCCCGTTCTCCTCCACGATCTGGAAGGTGCAGCTGGTGTGGTCCACGGCTGCAAGACACGGGGGACAAAACTAAGGATGACCTGCAAGCCCCCTGCCCCTTGCTATACTGCACGCCCCCTTGCCCCCCCCCACTATACTGCATGCCCCCTTGTTCCCCCCTTGCTATACTGCACACTCACTTGCCCTCCCCCATCCCTGCTAGCTCTCCCACACCCCAAGTGCTCCTCTTGCATGTGCCCAGACCACCCCCGCTCCCATGTGCAGGCACACATACACCCACACACACTGGCAGGGCAGATGGAGGTGCCCACACATCACGCCTCTGCAAGGAATGTCACCCTCCTGGGGGGATCTGGTGCTGGAGAGGCTGCCTTAGACAACCGTTTGTCACCTGAACTTGCCTGCAGCCCCTTCTGTGGGACAGCGAGGGGTCTGAGGGCCTGATGAGGGCAGGGAAAGACAGATCAGACCTCACTGATATGAGAAGACTAATCTAGATTAACTCCAAGGAGGAGTGGTAGCTAGCTAGTTCATCTGCCCAAACCCCCTGCATCAGCCCTCACGTTCAGAACCAAAGCATCCTTAATTCACTTCAGCCTAATTTGCCTTTGACTGTGCAGCAGGTTTCTTTCAGCCCTGGCAATCCCTCAGGCGCTCGCCCTCCTTTCTCCATTCACATCCCTGCCACAGGGGGTCTTTGCATGCAGCTCTCCACACCTGAGCCCCTGGGGAAACCCAAGATCCACCTCCCCCATGCAGAGCAGGAGGGGGCACCAGGTGTGGGGAGGAAGCACTGCTCACCTTCAGCCTCCGCCTCGCTGCGCTCCTGCTGCTGGAACTGGGCCAGCAGGATCCGTGCTCGGCGCTCCAGGTCCGAGCCAGGGATGTTATGGCGTACATAGGAGATGAGCTGCTTGAGGCAGGCGTAGTCGGGGGGCTTCCGGAAGTCCTCTGAGTACTGATCCAGCCAGGCACCCAGGATGGAGGAGATGGTGCTGGGGGAGCACACAGAGAGGCAAGCATGAGTGCCAGGGATGCATGAAGCAGCCACACACAAGTAGGCAGACCCAGCCTCTGCGAGCCCACATGCGTTGATATCCCAGCCACTCTCCACCATGGGTACAGTCACCCTGTGAAACTTGCTGCTGCAGGGCATGGCAGCGGCAAACAGCTCAGCCAGTTTCAAGAAAGGGAAGGAATGTGACCTATACACATGCGAATAGGGCAGGAGGCTTGAAGCCGACTCCTAGCTGCTTCTGGGGACCCGCCCACTCCAGAACCATGTCTAAGCATTGGCCAGGCTCAGCTCAAGGCCATCCTGCCTACACACCCAATCCCACGGCAGAGGTCAAGACCTGGCACATGCCTGGCTTTGTCACCTGGGGAAGGCTGCACCTGCCCTGGCCCAGCTCCCCAAAGACACTCCAGGAGCAGCCTAGGTGGAGTGGTAGCAGATACACTCACTTTTTCAGCTCCAGCCGCTCATCTACAGCATGTCTGGCATGGTCCCCGTTGGCCTGCGGGTGGAGTTTGCCGTACCTGGAGGGGCATAACAGGGCAGTTCAAGCCACATCCTTGCTTTGTGCACACACTCCTTGGCAGCCCTCTCTCGGACATCAAAGCCTAAAGCAACAGCCCCAGGAGGCAGAAAGGAATTCTCCCTCCCAGCATTAACCTATACACAACTGACCAGACGCATTATGAGAGCAGGGCCATGACCAGATGCAGGAAAGCAGACGGACAGCACCTGGTTCACTCTGGGACTGCCTTGTGTTATCTCCATACTGGGCAAGTCTGGCTGGCACTTGGGAAGTGGGGAGGGTAAGGAGGACCATGCAGAGTAGAGCCTGGGCTGCAATCCCCCCTCTGTACTAAGAGCCTCCTCGTCCACAAGGCCTGCGCTCCCCCACCCACCACCACTCGGATTCCAGGCATAGCACAATGCCGAGACAATCCCTAGGACAGCCAGAACCTCCCGAAGTACAAAAGCGAGACACGTGCTCCCTGGTATGTGCTCCCACGAACACTGCCCCATTGTTTGGAGGCCCAGCAAATGCAGTGGGGAGGCACGAGCAGATAGAGAAGTGGAGGAGAGTCGGAGGGGGAGGGGTGAGCCAGACGCTCCAGCTGGAGAGTGAAGGGGGATTTGCTAAAGGGCTCAAGGCATAGAAGCCAAAGTCTCCGAGCTCATAGGGGCCGGCCCCTTATTTCCCGCTATATGCATTATGCTCCATCTCCCCATGGCACAGAAGGATCGGCTGCAGCAAGGCTGGCAGAAGGGAGGGCTCTGGGACATGTGGGACTGCAGAGGTGCCTTCCCTATCCGAGATGTCAGCCTCTGCCTTGCTTGGAGATGGGGCCATGTGGGCCAGTCCAGCACTGCAGAAGCCCTCCCTACCCCACCAGCAAGCAGCATGCTCGCTTGGGCTACATGCAAGGTGCCAGCCCAGCCAGCCTGAGGAAGTTTGGAGGCTGGATAGGGGCACGAGGAACCCCCACAGAGGATGTGGGAGGACGAACTCTGGTCCGAGCTGGGAGTGACCCAGTGACAGCCATGACAGGGTTAGAAGGGAAGAAAGCATGTAGATTCTTTCAGAAAAACATGTGCACTGTTCATGAGAACTTGAGGGTGGGTAGGGTACCGACCCCCTGGCATGCCCCCAGCCTCCAACCCCTCAAGGCGCATCAGAGGCAAGGGGCAGCATCACCTGTTGAGCAGCAGGTCCAGCACTTGCTTGGTGGTGGCAAAGGCCCGGTAAGTGCACAGGAAGATGGTAACGTAGGTGGAGTCGTTGCCTTTGAAGGCCGAGACCAGATACTCCACCAGCTTCTCCAGGGTCCCGGCTTTTATGGTCCGTACCTTACATGTCTCATAGAGGTTTAAGGCCGATTCGTTCTCAAACTGCAAAGTGGGGAGGAGGAAACATGTCAGGCTGGGGGTGAGACAGAGCAATGCAAGCACAGGCCAGGAGCACTGGTGTCCAGAGGGGCACACACATGAACAGGACAGCTCCCCTGCAAGTCCCAGGGCACTTCCCCCTAAAGCTGGTGTCCCAAGCATGGCATCATGGAGCTGGGGGATAGCCCAGCTGCTCAGATGCCCAGCGTTGTTCCTAGAGACGTCACTCCCAAGCAGGAGGCTGGAAGGCCCTTTGCAGCCACTGCAGGGCTGTTGAGAATCTGTCTCTACATGCATCTGCATGAGGAGCTGCACTTTTGCCTCACCCTGGGCAGGGCTCCTCTCCGGGGGACAAAGTCAGCCCCCAGGCAGGACCAGGGAATTCTTGGCTCTCAGCCCCATGCTCTATTGATAGAGCCATTTGTGACTAAATACAGCTTGTTCAACACGCCTGTGGCAACCCTCGCTCCCTGCCCCTGGGTCCCCAGTGTCCCTGCGCTCAGAGGGTTGCTATGCTGCAGCTCCCCAGCTCATCCCCCAGGCTTGGCTCAGACCCACCCAGCACAAGTGTTCACTGACTCCAGGAAGCAGAGAAAAGTTGCAGAAAAGGAAAGAAATAAAAAGGAGGGGAAAGAAAAATAGAGTGCAGGAAGCCCAATGACCACTGCATGGCCCCTCTTCCCTTCCAGTCACTGCAAACCCCAAAGCTCCCACATCTCCCACATCAGCCAGACACATCCCTCCTTGGGCAGTTGGGAAAACCAGGTGTGGAGCCATCAGAGCTCTGGGATGCTTCACTCTGCTGCGCTCCTTGGCTGTCCAGGCAGACACGGGAACGCGATGGAGTCAGACAGCCGGAAAACTCATCCCCGACGCTGCATTCCTGTGGGCTGGCCGCCCACCTCTGCCTCTCACCCTGCCCTGCTGTTTCCAGCACAGCAGAAGAGGCTTTCCTGCAGGCTCTCCGAGGCTGAAGGTAAAAGGGTCTTACTCCCTCTGAGATGGGGAGAAGGGGCAGTCTTAACTCTACCCTTTCCAGGGAACAGAAAGGGCCAAGGCTTGAGGAATACTGAGCAGCTTTGTGTCCCATGGAAACTGGGGAATCCAGCACCTCCCAGGAGACCCCTGCCCCACCCCAGTCTGCTTTCCATTCCCTTCTGGCTTTGCAAGAAAGAGGAATTCCTCTCCTCTCACCCCACAGCCTAGGGCCGGCACTCTCTCCCTTCCTGCTACAGCCCGGGGTCAGGTCAGGATCAGGAGCTCTGTAGAAGAACCCAGCATAGGGATGCTCCCTCATGGATGGCTCAAGGATGGAGCAGGTGGGCTGAGCACCCAGGCATGGTGTATTGAGCCCACCTGTCCGGGCCCCCAACCCCCAGGACTATTCTCCCCTTGCACTGACTAGTGTGGGACACCTCTGCCTCCAGCAGCCACATTCCCAGGTCAAGCTCCCACTGCATGCCCTGTGACCTAGGCCACACAACACAGCGAGAGAGGCCACAGAGTAATGGTTACAGGCTGGGCAATGGCAATGTCTTTTCCAGCTGCCACAGGCAGCAGAATCGCTCCAGGAGAGCTCAGTGGGGAGGGCTGTGGGGAAAAAAAGCAACGGGAAGTTTGGCCCAGTGCCCCCACCCAGCTTACCCCCAGCCATCGCTGCCCCTTGTTGGCTGTGTGATGGAGCTGCACCTTCCGGAGGGATATGCTGTAGATCACGCCGTCTTCCTGCTCTTCCCCGATCTCCTGCGTGGAGCTCTGCAATGCAGGGAAACAAGCAGAGAGTCATTTCCATGAAGCAGGGGAGGGGGCATCCAGCACCGCTCTTGTCCCCCGAGAGGAAGTGGCCAGGGCTCAGAGAGGTGACAGGGTTTGCATATTTACAGGTACATACACAAATCAGATGACATCATTCCTCGTGGGTGCGTGGGTGGACACTATGCAGCGAGGAAGCCCTTCTCAATAGGAACCACTCCCCCTTATCAGTGCACACCACAACACCCCACAGCAGCACAGGGTGGTGCCAGGAGAGCCAGCCCACTCCTGACTGCTCTACCTCCCTGCGCCTTGTCCAAACACACACTGTGCATCAGCCAGAGATGGGGGGGTGAGTGCCTGAAACCCTGCATTCAACCTCTTTGGAAAGCCTGGCCCCACAGCACTGTAACTCCCACACTGAGCTTTGGTGCTCAGCCACTTTGTATGCCAGGCCCAGCTACGCAGAAGGAGCTGACGTTCAGAGCAAGGACCCCATGTGCAGCAGCTAAAGCTTGCTCTGCTGGCAGCCAGGAAGGCAGGGCTCCCCGGTGGGTTTTACCCAGGGATCTGGAGCTGACAGCTGGCACAACGTGGACTTGCTCCACCCACTATAGCACCCACTCCCACTCTCTCCGGAGCCCCTGCCCTCTCTGGGGGTGGCACCACAATCCCAAGTCCCTTTGGCAATCTGGACTCCAAGGATCGCACACGAGGAATGCAGCCATTGTTATCTCACTGCTCGACAGTGTCATCATTGCTTACGTAACACTAAGCAATGATGACAGCAGTGAAACCAAGCCACCGGCCAGCCCGGGACAGCAACCTGGATCAGGTAACATGCTCAAGAGGCTGACTCAGTTTGGGAAGCTCGGAGACAGGGAGAGCCCAGAAAATGGCCAGTGGGTGTGACGGTCCTGGATACAACAAGTGCAAGGAAAGCTCCCAGAGGAGGGGACTGATTTAGTGGCAATGGGTCACATGGGGAGGCAGTGAATGCAATATACCTCTGACAGATTCATGTCATGGGGTCTGGCATAACTCACTCATGTGCCCATCACCACAGCATATAGGCATCTATGTGCCAATACCAGTTTCTCTCTCTCTAGCAGCATCTACAGAACTCAAAAGCACTCTGCAAGCATGACTGTGGTTCCACGCACAACATAAAACCTACCCTGTGCTATTATCCTCATCTGCACAAATGGGAAAAACTGCCCTTTGTTTTTCAGTGCCCAGACATTTGGGGCACCTAACTAGGGTTCCTGGGCCTGGTGTTGAGGTGCAGAGCACTCACAGCTCCAACTGAGGTGCAGAGGAACCACGGATGTTTCTAAAAGTCAAGCTTCAGTTTGTTCATGCTGAACACCCCAAATCAGACGGCACGTCGGAAGCACGGACCTAAATGGGCCCTTCAGGCTGGTTACGGCACGGCTGGGAGTCAACCCGCCTCGTCCACTCTACAAGTCTTCATGCAGGAGGCCATCTCCTCCCGCAAAGAGAAGCTTTCTCGCTTGGGATTTGGGAGTTTTGACTGTTGGGTGCTGTATGTGCTTGTCCAAACTGCCTCTGTCTGGCAAAGTTGGCATAAGTGCCAGGCAATGACGCTGCAGATCAGCAACCGTAAGTCAGTACTATTCCCTGCGGCGACTCCTCAGCTACAGCCGTACTCCACCATTTGCTGAGTCAAAGGCTCCCTCTAAGAGGATTAATCCAGATCCTCTTAAGCCCTGGGGGCTCTAGCCCTTCCTCTGCACCAAAAAAGCAAACCATGTTGGCACAGCACACACTAACCCCACGCTCACCGTATGGAGGCGACGCCTGACAGTGGGACTCAGCTGAGCCTGCTAGCTTACAGACAGTGAGATGCTGCACGTGGGGGCTTGGAGATTCTCTCCAGGCAACCGATGGCTTTTCCCTTCAAAGTGCAGCTATGTTTTTGAGACGGAGGAAATGACTAGGAGAAACCATGGCTGGTAAGAGCTCTCCAAGGGGTCCATGGGGCAACTCCAGAGATGGGACTGGCCTAGTGAGACACTGCAGCTGGGTTCGTAGCCTGGCTAGCATGTGGGTGTGCATGTGCAAGCACATGTGCACACAGTTCCTGCATGCTACCCTGGGGACCCCTTGCTCCCTTGTTTATCTAACCCGGACCAGCTGCTCGCCTTCGTGCCTTCTGCAGGGGATACACACACCTGAGCCAACGCCAGGGTCAAGCACGCGCTAAGCAAACAGGCTGGCCCCAGCCCTCTGGGCGGCTGCCAGCTCCGGCAGCAGCCTGCGAGGCGCTCTTGGCCTGGATCCCAGCTGCCAGCTGGGACGCTGGGCGAGTCAGAAAGCTCTGAGAACCTGTTGCCCAGGAGAAGGAGATACCTTGTGCTGCTACAGAAACCAAAGCAGCAGGGAGGAAAGCCTGGTGGGACTGTTCTCCACGGGAGCAGGCCCCCATGTGAAAGCTTGCCCTCCTACTCAGACATACACCCATCCCAGCTGAGCAATGAACGCTGCCTGGTTTTGACCCAGACCCTGGGCTGGGGATGAAATGGCACTAGCATTTCCAACCAGAGGCCAAGGAGGCCCACAACCAACTTCACAGCCCCTCCCAGAGTAGTTACTGGGACTGAAGCTATGCAGGCAGCAAGCAGAAGAGGAGGATCCTGGTGGAGTCCAGATGCGGCAAAGCCACAGGTCTCAGGGAGACAGAGATGAGATGAGCACACCCAATTCTCAGCCAGATCAAGTTCCCACCTCGCCCCACCCTTCAGTTCAGGAAAAAGTGTCACCTGTGCCAGGCTTGTACATGCAAACTCCATGCCACTGGCTTTACTGGGACACACAAGGGTAAGCCAGGAGGAGATAACACTCCTGAAGGATACATGCCTGTGGTCATCATGGTCTCCTCACTAGCCTGTATGTATGTGGCTTTAGCACGTCTGCAGAGGGACATGGCTGAACTGGGCCAGCACAGACAAGCACGTGCCCAAATCTGGAGCCAGCTTTCTTCCAACTGATCTAACAGCGCTGAGACCAAAGCTCTGGATGGTTGTCTTGAGAACTGAAAGGGGCATAACTGACCTTCCCCCCTTGCCACCTGCCCTTGCTTCTCCCCACTCCATCATAGTCCTCGGGGGCATCCAATACATCAGCCCCTTGAAGGGGAAAGTGAGCCATTGTGATGCTCAGTCGGGAGCACAGCAGACAGCTTCCACTAACAAAGGCGTAAAAACTTCTGCTGGGGGAGCAGGGGTGTCTGCCTATGCACCGGGGTCCTTCACTTCAATCTGCCCCTAATGGCACGGGAATTGCTTGGAGATCTGTCCAGGTAGGGGGATGTGAGGAGGGTTTCTCCCTTCATTGTACCTTCAACCTGTCCATATTCAAAGCCTACGTTAAACAGGAAGATGCTCCTATTCTGGAGGAGCTGTTCCTGAAAAGCTCCTCAAACACACAAGCCCTGAGCTGGGGGTCAGCGGGGCAGGGATGGGAAGCGCCGGCAATGGAAGAGACCGACTCTGCACTCACGTAAAGGTTAGGTTTCCATTCTGTTGTGCTGCGGGGGCTCACGTGGGCTCTTAGACCCAGGCTACCTAAAGGGAGTTCCTTCCCAAGGTTTCAAAAGCTGTTCCAACCAGATCAGCTTGTCCAAAGCTGTGTGTTTTATTGACACAAAACACGTGTCCTATAATCACTTCCCAACATGAAGTTTTGCCATCAAATGGAAGGCCTGGACTATCTAGGCCCATGTCCTCCCCCAGACAGATAACACCAGGAATTGCTGAGGAAGCAACCCCACCCCAGAAGGAAACTATCCAACTACACCATGATGGGGTGGGAAAACGACCATTACGCGCAGCATTTCACATGGATTCCTGCGTAGCCGCTGTAATCTCAGCTTCAGAGTGCATCTGGGTCTCCTCGCTGCACCAGTTCAGGCCTGGTGTTAACTGGGTTACTCCACTTTTATGGCCTGATCCCCTGGGAGGCTGAGTAGCTCCCAGCACAAGAAAACAGGAGCTGGAGGCGCTCCGTACCTCTTTGGATCCGGCCCATGGCGTAACTCGGGACTGCAAAGTGACAATGCAGAAATCTGAATGATCAGTAGGAATGAATGAAACAACCCCACACACAAAGCGTCACACCAGCAAGTACAGACTTTCCACTGCTTGATCCGTGAATCACGTGCAGCACCACCGCGCAGCTGGAATGGAAAGTACTGGAGCGGTTTTGCAATGGGTACAGCTCTTGCAGTTGGTGTCACATGCAGAGGGAATGCCCAGCTTTCCTGCTCAGATGACCAAACTCCATTTCCTTCCTACTTCCAAGACTCTAAGATTCATTCACTCATTCATACTTTTTTTTTGCTGACCCATACAATACTCACAAGTTCTCTGTTCGCAGATCACGCACAAAGAGTACAGATTTCCAGCAGGCTCACACCAAACACTCTAGGAGTTGCTAGGGTTGGGTCTTTTTCAAATTTGCTTATTCTTGGCATCAACTTCCTTGTTATTTCCCTTCTTTCCCCTGCTGATTGTGCGTTTTATATGTGTTAGTTAAAAAAAAATTACGGAAGCAAAAACAAGCAGAGACATAGAGAAGCTAAGCCCCCACTTTGACACTTGCAGCACTATTTCTGCATGGAGGTTTCCATCCCTCCACTGTAGCAGGTAGGGGACAGGAGGCTGGACTGCAAGAAGAAAGCATCAGCCATCAGAACAGGCTGCTAAGAGCCATGAACCTCCAAAAGCATATCCCAGTACTCCTACAACCTCTTCCCCAGGTAGCCGTGAATTTGGAGCGTCTCAAATGTTTTGACACTTTCTGCTTGAACATGGCAGCCCCAAGTGACCTCAAATGGAAGAGCTCAGCGTTTGGGAAAATAAACCTGCGGTGCCTTGAAAGGAGAACCAGAGGGAATGCGCTTGGTCACAGCACGTCTAAGTTTAGCATATGATCCTCTGCTCTAATCACTGCAGGGTCTCAGATTTTGGGGCAGGCAGAAA